ATTGATAGTCTCGAAAAAATACTTTAATGCGAAAAATAAAGTAACTTAGTCGATTTTTCTTGCAAATATACGTTTGCTTCATCAAAAATTCTACCAAACAATATGATATTTCAAAAGGCCTGGCCTTCCTTGGTTAGCATGTCAAGCTCCCATTCTGCACTATCACGGTTCGACTCCCACTTAGGGTGTTGATAAGACCGATGCGAGATCGAAACTGCAACCCACCCTGGATGTGAACAACTTTTGGGAAAGCAAGGCTATGTGAAATTCAATAGAAACGTCAGGTCTACTTATATCATTGTGGGGAAATTAGTCTACCAGTCCTTCATCACCTTAAACGAAATTGGGTGAATACATCTCCTATTACCAATATTAGCTTTAGGTGCAAGCCCATTAGTGACAAATCCAAGTCAGTCCAGCTTTTATTCTAATAGTAAGTGAGATTTTATAACCTGGAGATCTAAAAAAATTTACTTGCATAGATAGTATTAGAGCACTAAAAATTCTTTGACGAATGTGCATATTTAAATCTTTTCTATCATTGTTATATAACCTATAAATTTATACAAATTTATATTTATATATATATAAATATATCACAATAGTATCAGGTTATTGAAAATTATTAAATAAGTATTTGCTCTAGTTATATATATATATATATATATGTATATATATAGTAGTGATTTGGCCAGTAGAGCAAAATAGATCCTTCAAAATAGCCTCACCATAGAAAAGCTATAAAAATATTAGCTTTGTATACACATGTCTTTGAATAATTCATTGAAGGAGTCTGTGCTCGGTAGATTAACTATTAAGTTAGACTTGTTAATTTTGTAGGCTGTGATATCATACATTTTATTATCTCTAAGGCGCTGCTTATGTGAGGGACACCCTTAAGCCAATCCATAATAAAATTTCCAAGAAAATGACTATCTGCTGTTTGGTGTAAACAAATATAAATTACTATATTTTCATTCATATAAAAGATTTTCTATTTGTAAGTGCGAGGCAACCAAGTACTTCGCTTTTCTTAACGACATTATTAGGTTTAAGCTTGATGGATCATAAAGAGCAAATTGCTCAGGTCAATTTATACAAGTCCGGTTTTTCTTGCCACTATAAAACATCGCATTATACCATGACTTCTCCTTTCGCAGAAAAAGTTGGTTGGAAATAATTCGTGGCGCATAGTGAAAATCGTTTTATTGTGCAAAGAGCTCCTCGGCTCACTGTCCTGCGACACCGATTAGC